GAGAGAACGCCAGGGCCACTTTGTCCTGTCTATAAAGCTAAAGGGACCCCTGACTATTAGGTCCAGTCGCGGACAACTCTGGGGTTGCGGCGCTCATCTCACTTTATTGGCCAAGGGAGCCGGCGTACAGCTTCCGGGTCATGTGGCCAGCATGACTAAGCCGCTTCTGGCGAACCAGAGCAGCGCACGGAAATGCCGTTTACGTTCCCGCCGGAGTGGTACCTATTTATCTACTTGCATTTGATGTGCTTTCGAACTGCCAGGTTGGCAGGAGCAGGGACTGAGTAATGGGAGCTCACTCCGTCATGGGGATTCGAACCGCCGACACATAGCAGATACCTATGTGCACGCACACTCAGCAGAGATCAGCAGAAACAAAGTGGAAGCCAATCTCCACTTTGTTTCTGCTGATCTCTGCTGAGTGTGCGTGCACATAGGTATCTGCTATGTGTTGCTGGAGCATGCCGGGACTGGTGATTTATGGATGTCTCAGAGCTACACAAGTTCAGGAAGATGCCCGGAGAGGTTTGTTTCATCTCACGGGCTGCGTGGACCCCTCCGGCGTATTCTGAAAGAGAGTTGCTCTACACAAGGGAGAGTATGGGAGTGAGGTTATCTGAGCCTAGGTATGTCTACGCAGGAGACATATTGAATAGAAATGACCCTCATGTCCACCTCTGCTCTGCAGGGGAACCCCAGGAAAAAGGTACATGCTGTGTTGGGAAGGTAGCCAAAGTAGCCTTTTGGGTCAAATGGGGATGGTCTGGCAGTCCTAAATTGGCTTGTGGGCCAAAGGTCCCTACTACTTGTCTTGAAAGGAAATCTTGTTCCAGATGCCTGTGAATCCACCACCCCCCCAACATGGTCAGCTGTCTCCATCTCAAAGTCTACAGCCAGATATGGGAGTTTTTGTGAATATGTTTTTCCCCTGCCCTGCACCTGCCACGGAAGCCACGGAAAGGGTTCACAATGTTGCAGAGGCAATGCTTCTTATAATTATCAAGATAATAGTGATTCCCTTCCCTTTGGGACCTGCTTCTCAATAAAGCTCCAGAGCTTTGTCCAAAGCTCACCTTTGAATCCACTAAAATAAACATCATTACTGAGAATGACATGACGCAATCTCTTGCATCTGAGCTGGAAAGGACCAGCCCATAAATGCTTTCTGTACCCCTGAGAGCTTCGCTTCAGTTTTAGGGCTGGTGAGTTTATTATGAGGCAGTGAGGTTGACTTCCATCCCCTTCAGATGTGGAGTCTTGGTTGGGCTCCACCCAACGTAAGGAAAGCCACTGGACTTTGCAAAAAGGGTTTGGCTTCGTCTAATGATTTTCTCACTGAGAGGAGCAGTCGCAAGGGAGGGGGCTGTTTCAGGCAGACACATAATGGTTCTGGTTTTCATTCTCCTCCTCCTCCTTCTGCCTTATGCAGACTGTGGGACGAAGGCAAAATGCTCCTTGACTCTGGAGGGAGATCAGATAGGCCCATTCAATTATCACAGGCCAGGAGACCACCTCATTAGTGGGGTCATCTCTGCCACAAGAGCTTTATTTAATCCACAGCACTTCAACGTCTCTCCCTCTACCAGCTTTTTCCGGTATGTCATTTTATGGGGGTGGGCTTCCTGCTGCTCCACTCACAACTAATTTCAAGAGCTCCAGTTGCTCCCAATCGACAGGCTCTTTCCTGCTTCTACTAAACCCCGTTTTGTTTTTGGAGAGAGATTTTTTGGGTGCACCAGTGCTAAGGCACCACTGACTGCATAATAGCCTGCCTTTCAGAAAGTTGGCAAGGGTTCCCTTTCAGCTGTGAAGCAGAGTAGCTTCTACATACTCAGCTTTTTAGAGACTTTGCGAAAGAATCCTGTGGCTAAAGAGGTTCTTTTAAGTTCTGCAAGTGGGAAAGGCCAGGGCAAACCCCTCTTGCTGCTCCCCACATCTTATTCACCCCGCATCTGCCTTTTAAATCAGTAAATCAGTTGCAGATTTTCTTTTTTCATTTCCAAAACCAAAAAATGAGAGAAATTATAAACATCAAATTCAGCATCCGTATTCGTTTCCTAACACAAACCTGTTACATGATTAACTAAATCAAAATATGCCTAATTACTCCAAACTCCTCTTTGCTGTATACAAATACATCACAGAAATTTTGTATTAAAATTAAAATATAATTTTTCAAATAAATAATATTTCACATTCAAATTATAACAACACAACAAGATGGAAGAAGTAAAAAATTGAGACCACACATGGGTGAAGGGGAGTGGTGGGTATGGGGGAAGCAGTTTTTCTTTAGGAAAGTAAGACCTGATCCACTGTGAACTTCAGCAAACTTCATAATTTTTCGAAGAAGGAAACAGTTCTATGCCATGTTAGATTAACTTTTTATTGAGTATTCCTTCTGATTGTTCCACAATGGTTGTAGGGGAGGCATATGACACCCGCTGTTTATTGAGTTGTTTACATTATATAACATTGCAGAAAACGTTGCACTTTCAAGTCCACATTCCTGTCAGTATTTCTTTCTCATGGAAGCAGGATTATTGCCAGTGTGGTGTAGTGGTTAAGAGCAGTAGTCTCGTAATCTGGGGAACCGGGTTCGCGTCTCCGCTCCTCCACATGCAGCTGCTGGGTGACCTTCAGCTAGTCACACTTCTTTGAGGTCTCTCAGCCCCACTCACCTCACAGAGTGTTTGTTGTGGGGGAGGAAGGGAAAGGAGAATGTTAGCCGCTTTGAGACTCCTTAAAAAAGGGAGTGAAAGGTGGGATAGCAAATCCAAACTCCTCTTCTTCTTCTTCTTCCCCTGCCCATTGTTCTCCTAACCCTAGGATGACATGCTCTCCAGCCAAGCGATGGGGCTACCCCCTCCTTCTGCAGGCATCACTATCTGGTTGTTTCTTTGGCAACCCACCTGCATGCGACCAACTCTTTAGACATGTAAAAAGGATGCTTAACAACCTGGGTTAGGGCCACTAATTTCTCAGAGACTGGTTCGGCCACTTCAGTCCTGTCTTGTAACACAGCCTCTCATCTTGCAGATACAAAACTACAGGCTTGGAGAAGCCCCCCAAAATCTTTTAAATCTTATGGCACTACAAAGTAATAATATAAAACCATTTAAATATGGGGAAAACTACAGAAATATAAGCTTTTTGGCTCTGGCCCAGCGGCCCAGCTACGTTGCTTTTGCTAAGGAGTGATTTCTCCATGGAGGGCTCTTGTGAAAGGGGAATGAGGCCTTATTCTCTCTCTCTCTCTCTCTCTCTCTCTCTCTCTCTCTCTCTCTCTCTCTCACACACACACACACACACACACACAATTGTTTTTGAGATTAAGTGGCAAGTTTGGGTTTTGGAGATAGCTTGAGGGAAGCATAAAAGTGTTTATGGGTTTCTGGGAAGTGCTGAAGATCTCAAAAGCTTTCCCTCCAAAACTGAATGAGGAAGCAGAATCAGTTGGAGTTTTTATGCTGTCAAGCTTCTATTTAGCTTCAGCCTGTATAGATGTGTAAATAAACCACACATCACAACAACAACAGCAACAGCAACAACAACAACAACAACAACAACAACAACAACAACAACAATTTATTATTTATACCCCGCCCATCTGGCTGGGTTTCCCCAGCCACTCTGGGCGACTTACAACAGAATATTAAAATACAATAGTCTATTAAACATCAAAAGCTTCCCTAAATGTCGCAGGCTTCCAGGATCCTCCTTCCAAGGAAACAAAACTTGGGTGCACCCCTTGATTTCTCCTCCCCTTAGAGTGGTACAATGTGAACCCTAAGAAAAAGCTGAGGTTAGAAGTTAAATAATTAATTTGTGTTGTTTAGGTGTTTAGGTTGTTTAGGTACTTAGGTACCTTGTTTTTATTTTCTTTTTTGTTTATATTTGTGATCTTGTCTTTTTTCTTTTGTTTTTTCTCTGTTTTTGTTTTCTTGTAATATGTGTTATATCTGTAAGAAACTTAATAAAAAATATTTTTAAAAAAAGAAAAAAAAGAAAAAACTGCAGTGAAGTTACATCACTCACACACAGACCTGCAGTTTTTGTGTTGATTTAACCCAGATTTTTTTTTTTTTTTGAATCCTAGCCTATGTGGCATAAGATGCTGTTATTACAGATTACAAATCAAGTGGACTAAAATCTCAGAGGACATCTAGAGCACATCAAGAGCGCAGAGCACTGTGCCTCAAATGAAGCCATCCCCATTCTCCACTCTTAATTCAGGAGACTGGGGAAATAACAGTAAATGTTCCCAGTCATTCAGTTAAGCTTTAAAATGTTGACTGGAAATATCTCGCCTTGTTCATGAATCAGTAAAGGTAAAGGGACCCCTGACCATTAGGTCCAGTCGTGGCCGACTCTGGGGTTGCGGCGCTCACCTCGCTTTACTGGCCGAGGGAGCCGGCGTACAGCTTCTGGGTCATATGGCCAGCATGACTAAGCCGCTTCTGGCGAACCAGAGCAGCGCACGGAAACGCCGTTTACCTTCCCACCGGAGCAGTACCTATTTATCTACTTGTACTTTGGCATGCTTTCGAACTGCTAGGTTGGCAGGAGCAGGGACTGAGCAACGGGAGCTCACCCCGTCGCGGGGATTCAAACTGCTGACCTTCTGATCGGCAAGTCCTAGGCTCTGTGGTTTAACCCACAGCGCCACCCGCATCCCTAGAAGCTTGTTAAAACATCTTGAGTTGAATCTGAGATATTCAAATGAATACTTGTTGATGATGATGATGATGGTGATGATGATGCAATATATACATTTTTGCAGAAAAACATTCACACAGTACTGGCAACCCCTTTCCTCCTTATTTGCCATTCAGGATATCAACCAATATCCCAGGCTCTTGCCCAACATCACTCTGGGCTACAACATCCATGAGAACTTCTTTCATGGAAGGGTGACATGCGAAGCTCTGGTAGACCTGCTGTCTGCTAGGCAGGCAAATGTTCCAAACTACAACTGCGGGGGACAGAATAACCTGCTTGCTGTTCTCGAAGGGGCTGACACTCAGAACTCCATCCAGATTTCAAGCTTGTTGGGCATCTATAAAATCCCACAGGTAGGAATGGAGAAGAGTGTGGCATTTTGCAGCTGAGCCAAATTTTGGGGAAGGCCAAAAGAGGGTGGAGTAGATGTTAAGTGTGAATGGAGACAACTTGTTATTAATCTTAATTTATTTTTAAAAGAAGACAGATCTTGGCAGGTTTATACCCTTTAATATACCCTTTCCTAAGAATCCATAGCATCAAATTTGCCATTTTGCCACATACTAGGGTAACAGGAGGTATCCACTATAACCCCAAGGTCTCGTTCCTGGCCAATCAATGCCAGTTCAGCCCTATGAGCATAAATGGGTACTGGCAGGGTCTGGCAGGGTTAAGAGCCCATGAGGTGATAGTGGAATGTGCGTTTGGGATCGTAGACTTAAGTCTCTCTTTCTTTTTAATGTAATGACTAAAAAAAGGGACACATGAGCAATAACTGTCAATAGCCAGTAGGACTGTCCTTTCAGGCAAAGCAACAGACATTCAGGAGTGGTCAGTGTTGGAACGTTTATATAATTTAGCAGAGTTTAAACGATTCCCTGTTTGAGTTTATGCAGCGACAAGCAGATTGCTAACTTGTTTAAGTCCTATCAATATTTATACCTTCCTGGTTGATAATCCCTTCTGTTCCTCTAAACAAAACACACATGAATCTGAATCATATTAACATAAACTACTTTACTTCCAGTTTCATTCAGTTTACAGAGTTGTTACTGAAGGCAGGCTTTAGTTACTTAACAGATAAACTATATACTAGATAGTAGTGAGTCATGAGAAAACCACATCCGAGCAGTTACCAGTTAACACTCCTAGCAGCAACCGAACCAACAGACAAACTGCCTGCCACATAGAGGCAGTTAGTCCTGTCTCAGAATGTTGGACTTGACTGACAGCTTTATATTCTGTTATATTATATCCACTGTTCGACAGTGGAATTTGCTGCCAAGGAGTGTGGTGGAGTCTCCTTTTTTGGAGGTCTTTAAGCAGAGGCTTGACAACCATATGTCAGGAGTGCTCTGATGGTGTTTCCTGCTTGGCAGGGGGTTGGACTCGATGGCCCTTGTGGTCTATTCCAACTCTATGATTCTAAAAAAATCAAAGAAAATTATTATTATATCCCACAGTCAGATGGTTTGCTGTACTCTCTTTGAAAACACCTGTCCTTCCTTCCCTTTGTGTCAAATGGTGTGCTAGTGTTTGTGTGCGAGTAAAGGGGAACAGAAGTAATGTCTGTAGTATGGGTTGCTATGACACTAAATTCTGGGGTAAATAGAAGTTTCCCTCAAGTGAACCCTGAAGTATTATTTATTATTATTATTATTATTATTAAAAATAACCCTCTTAATATTTTCAAACACTCTTAGTGTACCACAAAAACACCGTCTTTAAAACAAAGAACAGTATCTTTTATTTTCCAAATCATTGCATATATATTCCAGAAACAAAGGTAATCCCACACCCAACAAACTCAAATGTGTTTTTCCCAGGGACATTATGTCTGTATTCTCATACATAAACCATGGCTTATAACAATATTCATCTGTAAAGAACATTTTTATTATGTGTTCCACAAATTTGTATAAAAGCTTGGAATTGCTCTTTGGTTTTCTGGAGCATTTGTGAACAAAATAAACCTCTGCTATTCTCCAGCAAAAGTGTGGTTGTGCTTTGTTCGTCTTGCTGGACTCAATTTATGAATCAATTTTTTCCATAAGGGCAGTACGCCATTACTCTCTTGTACCAATTGTTGAAGTTTGGCCCTTTCAAGGCCTTCCAGAGTGCAGTTATAATCATACTTGCTGCCACTAGAAGAATCCAATTCGTGGTTTATCCACCAAGTCTCATTTAACTTTAGATTTAGTAACACAAGCTCTGGGGACTGATGAGTGTTTTGACTTATCTCATTAAAACTTGTTCCCCTCAAAACAGTCAAATAGTAGCATCAAACATTATAAAAAGCAAACCAGAATTACGGGAATTCCTAGAGATAAAAATAGAGCCTGATCTTATGTGTCAAGGAAAGCCTGGCAAAAAAGTTGGTGGAAGAAGAGTGGAAAAAATTTAAAGTTTATTTACAGAAATATTGTAAAATTAATGAATGTTAGAAGGATGCTGTAATGAAGTTATATGGCTCTAGCAGAAATATCATAAAGAATTAAGTAAAAATAGATTGTTAATGGGTCAAAGTGGAAATTTAAGGTTAGATTGTAATAAGATAAATTATAGAACAAAAATTAAGAAAGATGGAAAGGATTTGCTGAAATAGCTAATTGAACAAGAATACAAAAAAGGGAGGTGTGAGGAGGTCGACGATATAAGTAAATGAAAGGTAGAGATATAGAGATACTGGATGTGTTTTTAAATGTTTTGTTTCTCTTGTTGTTTTGCTGTGTTGTTTTTAGTTTTTTATTTTTATTTTTGATGTATTGTGAACTTTTTATTGTTTTCTTTCTTTTTCTTTCTTTATTCTGTAACTATTAAACCCTTAATAAATATTTTTAAAAAAGGAAAGCCTGGCAAAACATTTGTCTTTTCGACTTCCAAAACGTTTGGAAACCGAAGTGCAGCTTCTGATTGGCTGCAGGAAGCTCCTGCAGCCAATCGGAAGCTGTGGAAGCCTCATCGGACATTCGGCTTCCAAAAATGGTTCGCAAACTGGAACAGTCACTTCCGGGTTTGTGACATTCGAGAGCCAAAACGTTTGGGAACTAAACTGTTTGACTTTCAAGGTACGACTATATTCAGGGTTAGCTATATTTTGGCTTTGATCCAAAACTAAGCTAGCCAATAATGTTTATTTTCTTGCCAGGTCAGCTATGCTTTTGTCTCTCATGTTCTGGATGATAAGAGGCACTTCCCTTTTTTCTACCCAATGGTCCCCAAAGAAGAAGCCCTGTACCCAGGGATTGTCAAGATGCTCCATCACTTCAGATGGACGTTCATCGGTCTAATTGCCCCCGACACTGAAAATGGAGAGAGATTCATGAAGACCCTGACTCCTGTGCTCATCAGGAGTGGTATTTGTGTTGCCATCTCACAAACCATCTCGGTACTGAACACACATGGATTCGAGATCAATTTCCGCAAATTCTTAAAGTGGAGACAAGCCCGTGTGTTTGTTTATTATGCAGAGACACTTCATGCCTTGCATGGAATTTTCATTCTACAACATTTATTTGAGAACTTGATAAAGCCCACTGCAGGGGAAGTCCTGGTCACAACAGCTATGTGGGACATCTCCTTCGAGTTAATGTACAGCGGCTTATCTTACGAACACATCCATGGCATTTTTTCTTTCTACACTGAAACAAATAAAAGGAAAGAATGTAACGATATCCCATCCCTTTTCTTTGCAATCAAGCAGTTTTGGGAGGATGCTTTCAGTTGTTCCTATTTAAAGCACGCATGGTCGGCGAAAGGCTGGATAAGATGCAGGGAGAAAGGAAAACATGAGATGCTGCCCCAAGATGATATGGAAAGAAGCCTCTCTCTAGACAGCTACAGGATTTACAGCACTGTCAAAGCTTTGGCACGTGCCTTAAATGCTGCATATTCCTCCAGGTCTCTGTGGCGGGTGACAGACAGCCTGGAACGTCAAAGGCTACAGCCATGGCAGGTATTTCCTTTCCTATTGTGTACATCTCTGGCAAACATGACAACCAGTGGTACAATTCTAGACTTGACAGAGAATATGTGAAATCTAGCGGGGAGGTGAAATTTGGCAAATTGAATTGGTCCCTCTTTCCATAGAATCATAGAATCATAGAATCATAGAATCATAGAATCATAGAGTTGGAAGAGACCACAAGGGCCATCGAGTCCAACCCCCTGCCAAGCAGGAAACACCATCAGAGCACTCCTGACATATGGTTGTCAAGCCTCTGCTTAAAGACCTCCAAAGAAGGAGACTCCACCACACTCCTTGGCAGCAAATTCCACTGTCGAACAGCTCTTACTGTCAGGAAGTTCTTCCTAATGTTTAGGTGGAATCTTCTTTCTTGTAGTTTGGATCCATTGCTCCGTGTCCGCTTCTCTGGAGCAGCAGAAAACAGCCTTTCTCCCTCCTCTATGTGACATCCTTTTATATATTTGTACATGGCTATCATATCACCCCGTAACCTCCTCTTCTCCAGGCTAAACATGCCCAGCTCCCTTAGCCGTTCCTCATAAGGCATCGTTTCCAGGCCTTTGACCATTTTGGTTGCCCTCCTCTGGACACGTTCGAGTTTGTCAGTGTCCTTCTTGAACTGTGGTGCCCAGAACTGGACACAGTACTCCAGGTGAGGTCTGACCAGAGCAGAATATAGTGGCACTATTACTTCCCTTGATCTAGATGCTATACTCCTATTGATGAGGCCCAGAATTGCATTGGCTTTTTTAGCTGCCGCGTCACATTGTTGGCTCATGTCAAGTTTGTGGTCAACCAAGACTCCTAGATCCTTTTCACATGTACTGCTCTCAAGCCAGGTGTCCATTCCCTTACTGAAATATACTCCCTTCCCTTACTGAAATATACTCGGAGTCCTGCAGTGATTTCATGCTCTTTATTGCAGCTTGTAAAACAGCGACTGAATTCCCCCCCCCCCCAACCTCAGGCTTTTGTTTACATTATTTACACAATGAGTCCTGTCTGATTGGCTGATTCTGCTTCCCTCCTGAAGCCTGATTGGTCTTCTCCTACAAGCCAATCAGTTGTTCCATTCTAGGATCCTACCTAGACAACTGAGATCCTGAAGGAGGGTGGTTTGATGCCGCAATCTCTGTGTTGTTGTAAATAAAGAGGACTATAGACCTGTCAGAGGCTCGTTAATTCTTATTGAGAGTTCCCAGAGAGAAGGGGAAACTCCCATGCCTGCCTGCGTATCTCACAGTGGCTCCTGTACTCATTATGACGGTGTTTATATTTTTTTGTCTTATTAATATGCAGCAAACCAATCATTTTCGCATCATAAACAGCAGAGTTTCATACCGTTTCCACACAGAGCAGGTAAGAGCTGTGTGCTGGAAATATGTTTCAACCAACTGATGGTGAGGCAAGAAAGCCTGTCCCAACCACATAATAAAGACACAGTATTTTTACAGCCTAGGGCTTGGCAATCGGAAGGTTGCCGGTTCGAATCCCCGCGACGGGGTGAGCTCCCGTCGTTCGGTCCCAGCTCCTGCCCACCTAGTAGTTTGAAAGCACGTCAAAGTGCAAGTAGATAAATAGGTACCGCTCCAGCGGGAAGGTAAACGGCGTTTCCGTGCACTGCTATGGTTCGCCAGAAGCGGCTTAGTCATGCTGGCCACATGACCCAGAAGCTGTCTGCGGACAAACGCCAGCTCCCTCGGCTTATAGAACGAGATGAGCACGCAACTCCAGAGTCGCCCGCGACTGGACCTAGCGGTCAGGGGGTACCTTTACCTTTACCTTTTACCCTATATGTTGCTAGCCAGAAGTCCCATTAAGTTCAATGGGGGATACTCCCAGGTAAGTGTGCACAGGATGGCAGCCTAGACCTACTTACCTGGGAGTAAGCCCCGTTGGGTGCAAGTTTCAATGCAGCAAGCACTTGAAAACGATACACAGCTTCTTGATTCTCTACGCCGTCCAAGTCAGAGGAGATCAAGGCATAAAAAGGTCAGAGTTGGATAGTCAGTGTCCTTTCCCATACATTGGTACAGTGGTGCCCCGCAAGACAAATGCCTCGCAAGACGAAAAACTCGCTAGACGAAAGGGTTTTGCGGTTTTTGAGCTGCTTCGCAAGACGAATTTCCCTATGGGCTTGCTTCACAAGACGAAAACGTCTTGCAAGTTTGTTTCCCTTTTCTTAACACCGTTAATAAGTTGCGACTTGACTTCGAGGAGCCTTTTTTGAGGTTTTTGGTGATTTTTGAAGCTTTTCCAAAACTTTTCCGACACCGTGCTTCGCAAGATGAAAAATTCGCTAGAAGAAAAAACTCGTGGAACGAATTAATTTCATCTTGCGAGGCACCACTGTACTTCAGGTTACATACGCTTCAGGTTACATACGCTTCAGGTTAAAGACTCCGCTAACCCAGAAATAGTGCTTCTGGTTAGGAACTTTGCTTCAGGATGAGAACAGAAATCGGGCTCCGGCGGTGCGGCAGCAGCAGGAGGCCCCATTAGCTAAAGTGGTGCTTCAGGTTAAGAACAGTTTCAGGTTAAGTACGGACTCCCGAAGGAATTAAATACTTAACCTGAGGTACCACTGTATTCTAAATGCTGCTCTTTCTGTTCCCTTCCAGCTCCACCCTTTCCTGGGAAACTCCCAGTTCTACAATTCTTCCATGGATGGAGTGTATTTGGATGAGAATGGGCAATTAGCAGCTGACTTTAATGTTGTGAATTGGCTGAAGTTTCCCAATAAGTCCATCCTTAAAGTGAAATTTGGGAGTATCAACAGACGGGGTTTGCCAGACCTACAATTCACCATTGACCAGGATGCCGTTGTGTGGCCCAAATGGCTCAGCCCGGTGGGAGAAATCATCTTTCATGGCCCTTCGTAACACTTTCCGTCATTTCTATGGGGGGGGGGGGAGCAGGCTAACACATTTTTTGAATGCTCCTTTAATATGTATATATTATTAAATGCTTTACATAGTCCATTAAAAAACACCACGAGTTACCATTTTTGTTTTTCTCTGATTTCCCATATCTCTCGATAATTGTTATATCTCTGCTCTCTGAACTGTCCATTTGTTTCTAACAGTACACACAGTATAAAATATAAACCTGAAAATACCACATTCTTGTTCTTCTGTTGCTCAAGATCTAAATCCATCTCGTATTGAAAAAGAATTATTTACTTAAGTAATCCGAAAAGGGTTCCCATTCTTCTACAAACACCTCATCCTTTGACTCTCTTAGTCTAGCAGTGAGTTTTGCTGTTTCGGCATAATCCATTAGTTTGTTAATCCATTCTTCTTTTGTGGATATTGCTGTTTCCTTCCACTTCTGTGCAAATATAATACTTGCTGCAGTTGTTGCAAACAAACAATTTTATCTTTATTTTTGGTATCTCTGGCCCTATCAAACCTAGCAAAAAGGCTTCTGTTTCCCCCTCCCCCTATTGTCATCTTAATTAATTCATTGTTTACCATTTCCCGGTAAGCTTTTGCTTTCTTAGAAAACCACCAGATATGAATAAAAGTTGATTACACTGATTATTAGCATTTTTAGACATTTCAGCCATTTGAACCGGTGTTAGATACCATTTTCATATGGTTTTCTTTCAACCCACTAGAGGCAGTAAAATTAAGATCACTTTCCCACAGCTTTTTCCATTTCACCATTTCTATAACTTTTAAAAAAATGCTCCTTATCTTTCTACTTAGACCCTACCTACCTCCCAGTGTGTGGAAAGTTGCAGCCCTGGATTCGTCAAAGTCATTCAGGAAGGAAAGCCACTCTGCTGCTATGACTGCATTCCTTGTGCAGAAGGGACCATCTCCACTCAGGAAGGTGGGTGATCCCAGTGGAAAGGGCTGACCTTGGGAAAGAGGACATTTCATTCTGATATCAGTGGCTTTTTGAAGAGAAATTTTAGAACTGATTAATGAAATTCATGTGCAAAATGTGCACAAGCAAGCCACACTACACTCCTCCCAGTTTCTCAGCCTGTTTCTTTTCATGTTTCCTGGAGCAAGCGAAGAAGGAGCTATGTGCAAGTGAACTGAATCTCTCTTAAATGAGATTTTTATAGCACGCATATTGCAAGATCCTTCTTGTAAGGAAAACCAAATACCAAGTAGTTTTAATCTTTATTTTTCTGACAATGGATGGAGATTTGTTTGCTGTTATTTATGGAAACTCTAAGCAAAGCTAAGTATCTGTGATTTATTCTAGCCTATGCATTCTATTAGGGACACGGGTGGTGCTGTGGATTAAACCACAGAGCCTAGGACTTGCCGATCAGAAGGTTGGCATTTCGAATCCCTGCAACGGGGTGAGCTCCCGTTGCTCGGCCCCTGCTCCTGCCAACCTAGCAGTTCGAAAGCACGTCAAAGTGCAAGTAGATAAATAGGTACCGCTCTGGCGGGAAGGTAAACGGCATTTTCGTGCGCTGCTCTGGTTCGCCATAAGCGGCTTAGTCATGCTGGCCACATGACCCGGAAGCTGTACGCCGGCTCCCTTGGCCAGTAAAGTGAGATGAGCGCCGCAACCCCAGAGTTGGCCACGACTGGACCTAATGGTCAGGGGTCCCTTTACCTTTTACCTGTAATGCATTCTAGTGGGGAACATTTATCTACAAGTAGATGTGGGCCGATGCAAATTGAACCAAATTTTAATGTGCTTGGAACAAACACCACTGTGCTTAACTCTCCGACAAGAGGATAAGAACCTATCTTCCAAACTTCTCTCTCCAAAAAGAAAGACATAAATCTGTTGAGCCAGAAGCAAGAACAACTGGAGGACCTTTCGTCAGTCCATTTTTCTCACCCTGAACCATGTGACAGGGTTATTGTGACATTGAAGGAGGGCTTTTACATTGCGGTGTCTAGCCTGTGGAAGGCTCTCCCCATTGTTTTCACTAATAAATTAAGACATACTTGCTGCCCCAGGTTTTCCCTGACCTACAATATTAATACTGATTCCTGATGTCCTTGGTCATATGCAATTATTTTTATTGGATATAGCAATGTTTTCTTATTGTGGGAGCCACTTTGGTATTACTTTCTGCAAGGGAAAACCATTTCAGAAGGGTATAAATTTGATATTACTCTTGTTCTTTGCAGATGCAGAGCATTGCACCAGGTGTCCTGAAGATCAACATCCAAACAAGCCCAGGGATCAATGTGTCTTTAAGATTATAACCTTCCTGGCTTATGAAGAACCTTTGGGGATCCTCCTAGCTTCCTTTTCCCTCTTGTTATCCTTAACCACAGGCATTGTGTTAGGAACATTCATTAAGTACAAGGAAACCCCCATAGTCAAAGCCAACAACAGGGACCTCTCCTACATCCTCCTCATCTCCCTCTTGCTTTCCTTTTTGTCCTCCTTCATGTTCCTTGGCCAGCCACGGAAAGCAGCCTGCCTTCTTCAACAAATGGCCTTCAACACCATCTTCTCAGCTGCTGTCTCTTCTGTATTGGCAAAAACAGTCACTGTGGTGCTGGCCTTCCTGGCCACAAAGCCAGGGAACACGATGAGGAGATGGCTGGGGAAGAGTCTGGCCAACTCCATTGTCATTTCCTGTTCCATTGTCCAAGTTGTCATCTGCACCATCTGGCTGGGAATCTCTCCACCATTTCCAGAATCCGACATAAGCTCCCAGGCTGGAGAGATCACCTTGCAATGCAATGTAGGGTCTATTGCCATGTTTTATACTGCCCTTGGCTACATGGGCTTCCTGGCCTCCATATGTTTCACAGTGGCTTTCCTAGCCAGGAACCTGCCTGGAGCTTTCAATGAAGCCAAGCTGATCACCTTCAGCATGCTGGTCTTCTGCAGTGTTTGGTTGTCCTTTGTGCCCACCTACCTGAGCACCAAGGGGAAATACATGGTGGCCGTGCAGATCTTCTCTATCTTGGCTTCCAGTGCTGGGCTTCTGGGCTGCATCTTCTTTCCCAAGTGCTACATAATTGTACTCAGGCCTGATCTGAACACAAAGGAGCATCTGACAACAAAAGCTGATTCTTAAATTACTCATTTTCGACAACTGTCGTCCCACACAGACATACTTGCCTATGCAGCTTCTTAGATTTAAAACTTTCCTACTGTCACATAAATCCTGAAAGTTGAAAATTAATTCACAGTAGCTGTGCAATGGCCATAGGTACTTTGGGCGTAAGGTTTTACATCGCTTCATCACAGGCTGATCCCGCTACCAACCTTACTAGTCTTTATGCTGTGCATGTTTACCAGGGGTTCACAATGAATGCTTTTACACAATCTTATTTTATGACACATAATGTTTAATGGAGGCATGGCTGCAAATCCATATTTGGGTTTCAAAGAACCAGTCACACTTATTTCTCTATTCAAACTGTTGGTAGTCAGACATTTTCCTCTTCTTCTTAAATGCCTTTCTTTTGTGCTGCTTAAATTATTTTATCTGCAGCAAGCCTGTTAAAACAGATGTGCTTTGCTCTTCTCACTCTCAAAAGGGTCATTTGAAGAGAGACCCATCTTCTCCGCATTTGTAGTTCCATTTTTTCCTGACACACCACATTGTGCTTTGAAACAGATTTGTCAAATTATCCCGTTATCCTTTTCTGTTTGTGCCTTTTGCTGTGTATTTGCTTACTATTAGACATTTGTCTCTGCCCTCAAACACTTTGGAGCATGTCAGAATTGTTAAGGAAATTATTAGTATTACTTTTATCATTGATTAGATTTCTATGCTGCCCCTCCTCAAAAGGATCCCTGTCTCCTTCCTTGTCATGTTGCAGTTTGGAATGTAGCTGATTGTTCTGTAATGAATATTTCCTGCATGAATTTCTCGTGAGAAAATTCAGTTTATTTTTCTATATATTTTATAAAGACTCCAGAAGCTTTTATTTATCAGGAATTGTAGGTACCAAGATCCCAAAGGAGCAGAAAAGACTTTTCGTGTATGCAATGACAGCCACACAGATGTTACTAGCCCAGAGATGGAAAGATGATAAAGTCCCTACCAGAGAAGAATGGCAAATCAAGTTGTTGGACTATGCTAAATATGGATATGTATTGGGCATTGCTTTAATTTTACACTTGTAAAATCAAATAAAAATTATTTCAAAAAAGAAAGAAAAAGAGGCGATCCTTATCTCAATACACTTCTGTGCTGCTTGATTTACTGATATTTTCTTGTCCTAATTAAAACCCAACCATTATAACTCAGTTTTACATGTAACCCGCCCCGCTCCGGATGGCGGCGCAGAGCTGCCTGCAGTCCCGGGATCAGCGTACTTCTCCCCATCGCCAGCCCCACAAGCTCGGGGGACAGCGGGGAGGCAGAGCGTGCCTTCCCACTGTTCCCCGACCTGGTTCTTCCAGCCCCGCACCTGGGGGGGAAAATAATTTTTTTTCTTTATCCCCCCCCAAAACTAGGTGCGTCCTATGGGCCGGAGCGCCCTATGGGGCGCAAAATACGGTATATATATATATATATATATATATATATATATGGGTGGCGCTGTGGGTAAAACTTCAGTGCCTAGGACTTGCCGATCACATGGTCGGCGGTTCGAATCCCCGCGGCGGGGTGCGCTCCCGTCGTTCGGTCCCAGCGCCTGCCAACCTAGCAGTTCGAAAGCACCCCCGGGTGCAAGTAGATAAATAGGGACCGCTTACCAGCGGGAAGGTAAACAGCGTTCCGTGTGCTGCGCTGGCTCGCCAGATGCAGCTTGTCACGCTGGCCACGTGACCCGGAAGTGTCTGCGGACAGCGCTGGCTCCCGGCCTCTAGAGTGAGATGAGCGCACAACCCTAGAGTCTGGCAAGACTGGCCCGTACGGGCAGGGGTACCTTTACCTTTACACACACACACACACACACACACACACACACACATATATATATATATAGTCATTAGCTCACTATCGCCATCTAGGGTCATATTTGTATAATGCACTTAAAGCGCACTTAAAATATTATGTTTGCAGCTGTATAGCTGAGTCCTTGGTGTTCTTGCATGATTAAGTGTGTGTGTGTGTGTGTGTGTGTGTTTGGTAAGTTGCTTAGGGACTTCCCCCTGAGGTTCAAAGACTCAAGGCAAATCTAAAAAAATGTAGTATAAATACTGACAACTGGGAAACACTGGCCTGTGAGCACTCTAATTGGAGAACAGTCTTTACCAAAGGTGCCATGGGCTTTGAAGACGCTCGAACTCAGGACAAGAAATGTGCTAAGAGGAAGGCACGCTTGGCAAACCCTCACCGTGGTCAACTCCTGTCCGGAAACCTAAGTCCCCACTGTGGAAGGACGTGTGGATCCAGAATCGGCCTCCACAGTCACCTACAGACTCACTTTTGAAAACTGTGTTTATAGTTTTATAGTTTATAGTAAGACAATCCTATTCAGCTACAAGTAATCGCTAAAGAAGAAGAATTAAGTGAGTAACAAGAAAAAATCAGCAAACAGCCCTTCAGTCACATCCCTTGGAATATTCCATTTTCCAGTTCTCTTCCCAAGGTGACCCCTCATCTCACCTGTCATCAAATGAGCATCTCTCTTGACCGACTTGCAGGAGGGGCCCCTGGATAGTGTGACCTTGTTCCCACCCTTTATAAGCCAGGTCCCCCCAACCAATTATCTAGGGGTTAAACGTGTGTGTGTTTATTTTAACAGTTCTGCCCTGCCCCTTAGGTGCCAGAGGGCAGCTGGAGCTGATCTTGGGCAGATTCCCTTCAACTGTGACAGGTTCTGCCATATCTAAGAAGTCAGGAGACAGAGCTTCAGCTACACAGAATCTGAGCCAGCCCAGATGAAGGAGGAAGAATCCCTCCACTCATCATGGTAGTGGAAAATCAGTAGCAGGAAACTGAGCCAGGGTCAATTAGGAGCTCATGCTGGAGATAGTCTGCATTTTTTTAAAAGGAGCTGACAGTGGCTTTGAGACTAGAGAGGCTGCACTACCCATCTTGTTACCTCTGCTCAAAGAAGTTTTAGAATATATAGCAAAATAGATGCAAAGCAAATGGGATGAGTGGATGTACCATGAGCAGTTACTTAAAGACACTATCAAAGGGTCTTTGGCTCTCTGGAAGAAATAATCTCCCTTTCTCCAGCCTCAAAGCTTGCCAAGATAGTTCCCAACAGAAACGAAAGGAAAAAATCAGCATTCTTTCTCACCAGCTCAAAAGCAACTAAGTATTGACGCGCCTTGAAGAGCAACAGATTTATTAGGGCACAATTTTCTCAGTATTTTTAACATAATGTTTATGAAGGAAAATACAGTTATTAATTCTATCTACAATAAAGAACAATCCATATCTCAAAGTTTTAAGCGGCTTTTTGCAATAAGGAATAAATTACTCCTACCATGTTTATTTCCCCCTCCTAAGGACCCTCCCATTGTGGTCTATATATCTGTAAATAATGTTTCCATGCCCTCTGTTAACTGTTCTTGAATCAAAAGATTTCAACTTTTTAAATCTATTTGTTTTAGCAGTCCTGATCAATTTTGCTATTAACTCAATATTCTGAATGCGCGAGCTGCCAAAGAGTATGAATTTTAAGAGGAAAACACTCAAATTTCCAAGTTAAAATAGCACAATTAAAAATAAAATTTGAACATTTAGACATTTCTTAAAGGTCTGAAAAGTAACCACAAGAAAAGGAGACATAATCATGCATTTACATCTAAGAAGCTACATTTGCAAGGCAAGTATGTATTTTTTATCATTTCTGTGCTGGACAACAGTTGTAGAAAATGAGTAATTTAAGAATCAGCTTTTGATGTCAGATGCTCCTTTGTGTTCAGATCAGTCCTGAGTACAATTATGTAGCATTTGGGAAAGAAGATGCAGCCCAGAAGCCCAGCACTGGAAGCCAAGATAGAGAAGATCTGCACGGCCACCATGTATTTCCCCTTTGTGCTCAGGTAGGTGGGCACAAAGGAGACCCAAATTCTGCAGAAGACCAGCATGCTGAAGGTGATCAGCTTGGCTTCATTGAAGGCCCCAGGCAGCTTCCTAGCTAAGAAAGCCACTGTGAAGCAGATGCAGGCCAGGAAGCCTATGTAGCGAAGGACAGTATAAAACATGTCAATAGACCCTTCATTGCATTGCAGGATGATCTCTCTGCCAGATGGTGCAGATGACAACTTGGACACTGGAACATGATATGACAATGGCATTGGCCAGACTCTTCCCCAGCCATCTCTTCACCCTGTTCCCTGGTTTTGTGGCCACGAAGGCCAGCACCACAGTGATGAAGAAGAAGAAGAAGAAGAAGAAGAAGAGTTTGGATTTGATATCCCGCCTTTCACTCCCCTTCAGGAGTCTCAAAGCGGCTAACATTCTCCTTTCCCTTCCTCCCCCACAACAAACACGCTGTGAGGTGAGTGGGGCTGAGAGACTTCACAGAAGTGTGACTGGCCCAAGGTCACCCAGCAGCTGCATGTGGAAGAGCGGAGACACAAACCCGGTTTCCCAGATTACGTGACTACCGCTCTTAACCACTACACCACACTGATGCTTTTGGCCAACACAGAAGAGATGGCAACTGAGAAGATGATGCTGAAGGCCATTTGTCGAATAAGGCAGGTCACTTTCCTTCGCCTTCCAATGAAGAGGAAGGAGGACAGAAAGGAAAGCAGGAAGGAGTTGAGGAGGATATAGGAGAGGTTCCGGTTGTTTGCTTTGACTATGGGAGTTTCTCGGAATATAATGAATATTCCTAGCACAACACACGTGGTTAGGGATAAGAATAGGGCAAAGGAAGCTAGGAAGATCCCCAAAGGTTCTTCATAAGCCAGGAAGGTGATGATCTTGTAGAAACATTGATCTCTGGCTGTGTTTGGATGCTGATCTTCTGGACACCTGGTGCAACGCTCTGCATCTGGAAAGAACTCAGGGAATATCAACTTTATTGTATTGCTTTTCATTAACAAAAAGTAATACCAAAGTGGTCCCCCCTAAAAGAAAACATAAAAATCATTGCATATGACCAGGGAGAGCAATTTTTGATATTAATAATATTATGGGACAAGAAAACC